ACACACAATTAGACTGGACACAGGTACAAATGCTGGGTGAATTTAAAGGGTGTGATCAGACAACAACATCTGGGAAGTGCCCTGCAGCCATCGGCTACCCATTTTCCTCTGCCACAGAAGCGGAGTTAAAAGACACAGGGGAAAACCCAGTAGTAAATGGGTTGCGACAGGCCACGGACGGACTTTCCAGTGTCTGATTGCTCCAGTATGCTCTCATGGCATCAGGATGGTCTGTTCACACCATCCCGACTCCGTGCCATTGTCCCCCCCCCCCCCCCTTTGCAGTATGCGCATCATCGCAAACTGCATAGGGAGCCCTCGGTGCAGAGGTGCGATTCATTGATCCCTTGGTTAAGCGCATGAGGAAAAAACAGCACACACACAAAAAGACTCACCTGCAGTTGCATCTGATCATGCATTGATGGACCGCCCACAGCTTCAAAGGGCGGTGTGATTGTGCAACTGCGGATCAAATTCCTCTGGAGGAAATAGCCTCGCCCCCCCCCCCATTTTTTCTGGCGCCTGTGACCGCAACCTTAGCTTTGGGGGCATGAGAGCTTACTGTCAGGAGCAAGACCAGGAAACTACCATCCCCTGTTGTGGCAGGAAGTAGCCACCTCCTAAGAAGTGGCATAAGGAGACATGCTAGGAAGGGATACATTCTTATAGCTTCTACTTTACTTTACTTTATTTATGTAATTTATATCCTGCCCTCCCCGCCAAGGCAGGCTCAGGGTGGCTAACAAGGCCACAGGGGTTATAAACAATAAAGCAATAGAACAAATTAATAATTTAACAATTTAAAAACAACAAACAATTTAAAATACAATTCTCATAAGATGGCAGAACTGTCTTCACATCCACCATCAGGAAACAACAGCTGGTGTCAGGCTCTGTAGAGCTTGGTTTCTTTCATGTGGATATAGACGTTACGCTGGTAGCCAAGGGTTGGCACTAGGGCACAATATTCAGCCAGGTGAAAGTCATTTAGTGTGGCACCTTGTACACTTGGCAGAGGAGATCCGTCTTGCAGGCCCTGCGGAATTTTGATAAATCCTGCAGGGCCCTGATGTCCTCGGGGAGCTCATTCCACCAAAATGGAGCTGCCACAGAAAAGGCTTGCATCCTGGTTGTGGTCAGCCTGGCATCTTTCATGCCAGGGAGAACAAGAAGGTTCTGAGAACCTGACCTCAGTACTCTCTGGGGAACATATGGGGAAAGGTAACGATCATTGTCAGAGATGATACGATAGCCCAGGGATCCCCAAAATTTTGAGTCTGCAGACACCTTTGAAATTCTGACACAGGGAGGTCGATGCAACCACAAAATGGCTGCTGCAGGAGGTGGAGGTGACTACACAATGTCAGGGACTGAGGTTACACATAACTCTAATAGTAACTCTTCAACATTACAGTCAGAAGCAATGTTTAACAGCATGCCTTTTAATTTGCACAGCTGATCAGTTCTCCAGGAATCCTTGGGAATCTTAAGCACACTTTGTCAAGCTATGAACTGTACCACCCACTCCTGTACTAAAAGGAGAAAATCAAGTGTATTGTTTCATGAGCATTTTGTTGCTCCTGTTACAGCAAGCAGTTAGTGAGGCACTTTCCACTTGGATGGAAAGTTTAATCAGCTAGTATACACAGAGACAGCCTACCTCAGACCATGACATGAATTGCTCTTAGGGTGCCCCCCCCCCCCCCCAGCCATGGAAGGGGGGACTTACTGGATGGTTAGGGGGCCTTTGCTGGTAACACACAGATGTTGCTGGCAACTCACTGATGTCACTTCCTGTGTGTGCCAGAAGTGACATCAGTCCATTGCTGGTGAAGCTTTGGCATTTGAGGAAAACTCTGGTTTAACCAAATGCCAGAGCATCCCCTGCATACCATGGGCCCACAGGAGTGATGTCAATATGCCATGATGCTGCTGATGCCATGATGCTGCTGATGCTCCCTCCAGTTTTTGCATCATCCCCCCCTCACTGGCCACCTGAGTGGTGGCAGGGAGTGCTTGTTGAGGGCAGGGGCCTGGCATCCCTAATTGCTCTGGATAAACAAAGCACTGCTGGAATAGAGACCAGACTGCATTTCTCAGCTGGACACACAGCAACACAGAGACAAGGGAGAAAGATCCAGGCAGGGGTCATAATGGGGTCCTTTGAACAGTATATATGTGTATGTTTCTGACTTTTGAAATAGTAATGGGGGGGGTCACAAGAGAGAAAGGCCTCTTCTGGTTCTCTGTAGTTAGATCACTGCATTATATGCATACATATTATTAGCAGGAGTGAGACACTGTACACGATATTTGAAATATAAATACCCTTTCTCAGACTATCAGCTGAATTCTAAAGTAGACATCTAAGAATTCTCATTTTGAAAGTGAGAATCCTATACAATAGACTCTCGCCATTTGCAGATTTGTGTCTTGTGAAATGACGAGGGTCTATTATATCAGGTTTTTCAGTTATTTACATGTTTTATTTTCCACAGAGCAACTATTTTTTGTGACAGATACCAGTTTGATGCCTTTAAAGTTAGAGGTTAAATTAGTACAATTTTCCCCCAAGGCTTAATTTCCCCTCCCAGCAGCACAATATAAACAACAGCTGTATTACAGAGGGAAGAATCTTAAACTAATTCCAAATTGTTCTAGCTTGAAAATTCACTTTAAAAGGTAATTAATAGCTGGTTGAGAGGTCATCCTGAAGACCCTGGAATTCAGCAGTATTTCAAGATTCAAGGCAAGCACCAGGCCAAACTGGTTATTCTTGCTTAGCTGCATCTATCAACCCACTTTACAATGTCAAAAATGCTGAGCTGGGACATATAGAGAAGCACCCTGTACTTCAAAAGACTCCACACATCTGGGTAAATCAGAAGTGACAGCATTTAGAATCAGAGAGAAGGAGATAAAAGTGGAATGGAATTTTGGATGAGAGAGACCAATTCAGAGCTACCACAGGTGTTTAATGCCTTTAATTACAGGTGATTTCCATACAAAAATAAAAGGTCGGAACAGTTTGACCTAAACCAATGGTATGATTTAAAATGTAATTAAGTTACCCTGTGATAAATGATGGCCTTAAACGCTATGGCATGAAAGGAATGGCAGAATTATTAAGACTCCTTTGGCTGTTTCTAATCAAGTATTGATTGCTTTGCCCCAAAGGAGCACAACTAATGACAGAGGCTCATTGATCAGATATAACTTACTTCTCCCTTTCAATAAGAATTTAATAGGGGATCTATTCTGGAAAAAACTGATGATTCTCTATTTGTCTCTCTTCAGATTGTCTCCTCTGTCTGAAAGGCTGACAAAGCACAGCAAGTATAAAGAAAAGCTAGGGATCAGACTAATCTAGGAGCTGTGATAAAACCCAGTGCATAATGGAAGAGTCATCACCATTTCAAAAGCCAGTGGTTAGCGTTTGGAGGGCAAATCTTGTGCCACTTGGGAGCCTGTTTCTTCTCCTTTTTTTTGGTTTGAAGTAGAAAGCACCCAAGCCAACCATAATAATATTACAAAATCAGGTCAATGTGTTGTTTTTTTAAAAACAATTAAATCAATTTAATGCTAAGGCCACACACTGTTGCTTAAAGACAAACAAGGTGTAAACTCTGCAAGGTGGGATACCAAGTAAAGGCCAGCTGAAATGTATGATTCCAGGATCAATTTGATGAATATAATAGTCATGAGGTGTACACAAGCATTATTCTCTATGCCATAATGTTACTACACAGGTATGTACCCGGGGTCAAGGACCCCAGAATTTTTTTAAAAAATGAGTACTGTTCCATGTATGCATGTTTATTAGTTTGGTTTTGCAATAATTTTACCTGGGAAGGAGAAATAATGGGCAAACAGACATCCTTAACTGGAAGAGACCTGATGGTTTACAAAAAATGAAACACAAGTATGGCATTGCCAGTACTGAAAGCTGCATGCTTTAAGCTCTCTTTTAGATCTAGAAAGACATGATCAGAACCTGTTGATTGTTGAACACTGTAACCCTTGCTGTGGAATGGGCTAGGTAGATACAGCATGCAAAAGCAATTGAGGGTTGATTTCCTCTGCCTTGGGGGGGAATCAACAACAGTTCTTAAGGATGTGTATGAGTGCAAGACAATGAACAAGATTTCAAAGATAAATAGTTAAATCCAAGGAAACAACAGTTGAGGGACTAATAGTTGAGTGACTAACTCCTAAAATACCATCGCCAAAAATTGTGGCTGCAACGTTGTTTCTGAACAAAATTCAAATGGCTCATTTTGACCTATAAAGCCCTAAACAACCTGATAGTGATGGATGGCATTCTACTCCAAGATCTACAGAGACCTTGTTCTATGCACCAACATATTTACAGCTTCCATTTATTTCAGTATAATTCATAATAGAATTATGAATTACTTCACTGCAATAATGAGAAATGAACTGAGCAGCCACTGTGGGTACACTGGAAACTCTTAAAATAGTGTGATCAACTGACAGGATACTGAGGAAGAGGTCATGGTGGTAGAAAGAGATCCAGAGGCATAAACAGTACTTCAGATGAGAGCCTTCAAGCTTGCTAGAAGACCCAAGGTATGATGTTGATGTCATCAGTACCGGAAACAATGATCTCTTTTTTATCATTGCTTTCTTGATTATGCTCCAGTGTCTTTTATTTTAACAGATTTGTGACTTCATATTAACAGATAGCTATCAAGCTCTGTCATTAACTTCCTAAATAAGGATGGCCCTAGGGTATACATTCCAGATATAATTACGTCAACTCAAAGATGTCTGATCAAATGTGACAATGAGATTTTGAAACTTATGAATATTTATTGCACTGAGTAGTGCTTGAGAATGTATGCCACAGAGCTGCGATATAAGTGGGTCTAGTGCAAGTACTTCTGCACTCTGGTACAGATTGATGTGGTTCTACGGGATGTGTTTTTGTAATTTGTATGAATGCTTTTGTATGAATGTGAAGAAGTATCAGTGCTTACCTCCATTATCTTTTAGGTGTAGAGCTATCTTGGTATCATCTGGAAAAAAGAAATTCAAGGGTATTAGACCAAGGAACTCTATGTAAGGATGGGATATAATGCTTTATTAGCGATTTTTATTATACGTAGTGTTTGTTCCCAAATTCACCATAGGCTGTGGTTCAATAACTCTGCCGTACTTCTGTGCTACAAATATAAATTTAATCTGCTCTGACACTCCTCACTTTCTTTTCAAAAACAACACAGGAAATTTAGTTCTGGGAAGCAACTAGGTACTTTAAAGGACTACCTATACAGTCACAAATAACACGATTCCATGGGGGGAAGTTATGGAATGTAAGTGGGGTTTTTTTTGTATTGCCTTCTTTTACAGGAAATGGTCTGATTCTAAACCTAGAGATCATTGAGGTTCCCTCCTCTCCCGCCCCATGAAAAGAAGCATCTCTGAACTATCCCACAGTAAAAACCAAGAAAACCTTCAGAAGCCAATACAGTTGAACATTACAGCTGAACTGATATGGCTGTGTACAGGGTGTGTGCTTTTCCCAGAAACTTGTTCCCACCCAGGGACCATGTGCTCCTGCACAGCAGCATCCCCCTACCCTCAGTACCTCTAGCGCTGCCAAAGCCAGAGCATGCATTGGGACAGGAGGGAGGATATGTGTGCCTGCACAGAAGAGACTTGATGAACAATAGTTACAGATAAGTGCAACTTTGTTTTCATCATCGATCTTCTGTGCAGTTTCACACAGGGATTCTAGCAAGCTCCTCACCAGCCGGTGACACATGCTCTCCTCACTTGAACAGTGAATGTATGCTTTGCCCACTTGAGCCTCATGTCTCGCTTGCAGATCCAAAGCATAGTGTGTCTGCCAAATGTGTCTGCCAACAACCTCTCTTAGGACCACTAAAACAAACAAACAGACAGACAGACAGACAGACAGACAGGGCTCTATCCCTGAAAAACTCCAGGGTTCTCTTGAGGTAAAATAATAATGCCCTCCTAACATCTAAAGAATGCAACGAGTACTCTTTCTCAGAGCTCGGTGCATACACCAGCTTCTCAAACTACTATGGAAAAGAGAGACTTTCTGGATTTTCACCTGGGACACCTTATCACTGCATGGATTAAATGAACAGATAACTGGTACACTAGTTATATAATATAGTTCTATATGTTTCATCATCCATAGTGTTATACACAAAAACAATTCCAACCCATTTTCGACCATTCAGACAGTTAGATACCACTCTCTCCCTCCCCTCCCCTTTCCGTTTTCTTCCATACCCCTCCCTTCTAGGGTTAGAAACCTGGCTGCATAGTTGATTCAGGTTACATCATCCGTCTTCACTTTGCATCATCCGTCCTCCCCTCCAGCACCTACCTCACTTAGAATACCTGGACTCTGGTTTACACATGAACACACACTGGGAAATTAATTACAGCCCAGGACAGGTCTGTATGTGCAAACTTCTAGAAATATCTCTGACTTTTAGTGAAGCATACTCAATGTTACTTAATTAATAATTTAATCCAACTATACATTGCTGATATGCCATTGATTTCATTTACAAAATGATGGTTCCTAGTGACTAACTTTGGTGAGTGAGGACTCTTCAATATATACAGAATTGATTTAAAATCATTACTAGGAACTTTGAAGAAGAAGAAAAAGAAGAAGAAGAGTTGGATTTATACCCTGCCCTTCACTTAGAGTCTCAAAACAGTTTATAAAGTAAAATGAACATGAAGAAAAATGTTCTAAAATGAAGACATCCGTGCCCTGCAGGAGCTGCTACCATTCCGCAGGGCATGCAAGGCAGAGATGTTCCGCCAGACCTTCGGTTGAAGACAGCAATGGGGGCATTCTTTGGCACTTTCACACGAGTTCCCATTCCTCGTAACCCCTCCCCCCCGGGAGGCTGGGGTGTTGGAACTTTCTCTGCCATCTTACATATGCTATATTTTTGCCATTTTGATTAAGTTGTTTTATATATTGGTATTTATTGGTTTGTTTTAATTTATTTTAATCTGCAATTGTATATTATTCTGTTGTAAACGGCCCTGAGCCCTACTTGTAGGGAAGGGCGGCCTAGAAAATCCAATTTAATAAATAATAATCTCCTTCCCTTCTGTTTTCCACAACTGATACCCTGTAAGGTAGGTGGAGCTGAGAGAGCTCTGAGAGAACTGTGACTGACCCAAGGTCACCCAGCTGGCTACATGTGGAGGAATGGGGAATCAAACCCGATTCTCCAGTTTAGAGTCCGCTGCTCTTAACCACTACACCAAAATGGCTAAGTGTAAGTAGCTACCATTCTGTATTAATATTTTTTGTTAAAGCAATCTTTTTGGGATAAGTCGGTATGTTATAATTTTCTTACATCAGTATTTTTTATTAATTTCACAATTCATACATGACCTGCTGGGCCTGAAAAAAAGATTTTATATTTTTATATTAGTTTTGGGACCCACCTATCTTAGGGACTGCCTCTCCTGGTATGTCCCCCCTGAAGAGCACTACATTCAGCTGACAAAAATTTACTTGTAGTCCCTGGCCCAAGAGATATCCTTGACCAGGGCCAGGGCTTTTAGTGCCCTGGCCTCAACCTGGAGGAACTCTCTGCCAAGTAACATCCAAGCCCTGTGGGACTTGATGCAGTTTCGCAGGGCCTGTAAGGCAGAGATGTTCCACCAGGCATTTGGTTGTAGACAGCAACAGTGCTCACCTGGCTGTCACTCCCACTCCCTCCCCCCTAAAAGGTGGTAGCACTCTTAGAAATTTGACTGCCGTCTGTCTAAATTGAACTGTTATTTGAATTTTATCATAATTTTTAATGCTTTTTATTTATATGATGTTTTTGCTTAATATGCTGTTGTACACACCCTGAGCCCTGTTGCAAGGAATGGGCAGTATAAAAATTGAATATAACCAATAAATAAAATTGATATTGTTATGATTTTACGTGTGTGTTAGTAAAATTTTGACCAGTGAAAAAGGCTGTTCGGGCCAAAACATAGAGTTCTTTACGTAATATACATGTGTAATCATCAATGTGATTCTTTGTTATTGGACATGTAACTTCACGTTGTTGGTGTATATTAAGAACTGAGTTTTTAATGGTATCCTGTGTATGTCATTTTTAATCCTAAAATTCTGCATATTGTGTAATAAATATTTGCATTTTATTTTATTTTCTAGTAGCTCCACCTTTTGGTTCCTGACTTGATGTTCAGGTTAGGGTTCCCCCCCCCCCCTTTTGTCTTTCTTAAGAATGTATCGATTCCAAATGATATCTGAGAAACAATTAAGGACATAATGGACTGTTCACAGTTCTAAAATGTTAAAGTGCAGTATCTTCTCATCTTTTAAACAAGTACCCCTAGCCAACAATTCTTCACAGTGGGCACCCCAACTCAAGAGCGAAGCATTTGTTGTAAGGACTACCTCACGTTCAGAAACTCCAAAGGAATTCCCCCAGGATAAATTGTCCATAAACCACTGCAATAAAGAATGTATGACAGATCTGGGAACAGAAAATCTGTGCCATAAGGCATAAACCCCAGCTCTATAACAAGATAGAAACCAGAGCTGCAGGGGTTGTATCTAGGGGTGTGCATTCAGTTTATCCAAAAAGAACCCCCCTAAATGCTTTACCAATATTTTTTTGAGTTTTTAAAAGCCAAATACAGATTAGAGAATCTGATTTGGTTACCGATATAGCTACGCCCAAATAAAACCCGATACTATTTCATTCAGGCATGGCTTGGAGAAGGCATTTAAAGAGAATGTGGAAACATGAAGAAAAATGTTTAATTTTCTGAGGTCTAAAATGGATCTAATTCCCCCATCTTTCTTATCTACTAGGAACATATGAGAGAAGAAACCCTCCGATCTGAGGGTTACAATGCCCGAGACACCATAACCTCCTCTGTGGCACCCTAATCAATTAAGGAGGCCAAAGCCTGGGCAAGACCCATAGCTGCTTGGTTCGATTCCCTTAAAGGTAAAGAACAAGGGGGAATGGACTTAAATTCTAACCTGTAACCAAATCTAACTATGGACAAAACCCACTCGTTGGAAGAAATAGCCTCCCAGGCTGTAGCAAACTGAGACAGCGTGTCCCCAATCTTAACAGGGGATGGCAACAATCTTAGTCAGAAGGATGACTTCTGGAATAAAGTCACCTCTCTGGAAGAGGACAGTTGCTAATTTGACCTGGGTCAATTGGAACCCTTATACCTGTGGTAACTCTGTTGTGGGGTAAATGGCTTAGGAGTAGGATACTGAGACCCCAAGGGGTCAGAAAAGCCATAGTCCCTTTGATACAGATGCCAGGGCTATCTCACAAAGGATCTCTGCTTAAATTGGAACGTTGTCGATTGTGAGACTCCTAAGGACTTAGCTGTCTGCTTGTTCTTCTTTATCAGGTAAAGTATCTCGTCTGTGTTGGAAGAGAAGAGAGTGGAACCCCCTAAGATAAGTCTTCAATTTTAAACCTGGTCTCAATAGGCAAGGCTGTTGGTGCTAACCATGCATGTGCTTGAGTATGATGGAGCTCACCATAGACTATGCAGCCAAATCCATGGAATGCCATCCTGCATTAATTTGCTGCTTTGAAGATTTAATGGCCTCCATATGCAGAACTTTAGCGAGTGGACTCTTGCCTTCTGGCAGGAGTTCCAGGAACAGAAGAATCCTCTCCCATAAGAAGAGCTGATAACCAGTCATAATGGTTTCACAGTTAGCAATTTTGAAACCTAATGCTGCTGAAGAATATAATTTTTGACTGAGGACATCACTGTGGGAGCAGAGTAGTCGACCTGACAGCCCTTTGACTGCATCTCCTCTGTAACCAAGGAGGATGGTGGAGGATGAGTATTCAAATAGTTAAATGGCTCCTTCTTGGTCTTATAAAAATGTTCTCCCTTTTGGAGGTAGGCTGGAGAGATGCAGATTTTTGCCACAGTTCCTGCGTGAGGTCCTCAATGCCCTCCAACACCAGGAAAGTAATAATCTCAGCAGACTTTGAATAGAGGCGACTCAGAATCTTATCTTTGGATTGTTGCTTTGAGGTATCTCGAGAAACTGGGCAACATGAATCATCTGTTCTCCAAACATTTGGAGATCCTCTGTGGGAGATGCCAGAGATGGCTCACCTACGCTCTTATCTGGGCTCAGATCTGATGTTGTGTTGGATCCACTGGATTCAATCGCTGTTTCTTCTCCTCTCACTGCAGGAATAGGAGAATGTGGCCTGTGCATGATGGTCGCTGAAAGCAACCCATTCCTACCTGTATCCTGGAGACATCATGTAGGAGGAGGAGGAGGAGGAGGAGGTGGTTTTTATACCCCGCTCTTCACTACCTGAAAGTGTCTCAAAGCGGCTTACAGTTGCCTTCCCTTCATCTCCCCACAACAGACACCCTGTGAGGTAGGTGGGGCTGAGAGAGCTCTGAGAGAACTGTGACTGACCCCAAGATCATCCAGGTGGCTTCATGTGGAGGAGTGGGGAATAAAACCTGGTTCTCCAGATTAGAGTCCACCGCTCTTAACCACTACACCTCATGTAGGGATGTGAAGGCCACTGCATAGGTCATTGAGGCTGTTTGCTCTGGATTGGACTCACGAAAAACCTGGTCATGTGGTAAGTCATCCCTGTCCACACTGGAGACAGAAACAAGTGGGGATCTCAGACCCATAGATAGAGTCCTGGACTTTTCCTGCAAGGGTGGTGTTGGCTCAGGAGTGCAGATGGGAGCGTTCTGCTGGGGAGCCGATTTATACTTTTCCTTTGCCTTGCCTTTAGCCTTCTTAGCTGGAGGCTCAGAAGAGGTGTGATAAGCCTGAGGGGAGCGCAACATCAGATCTGTGTCTCAGTGGGAGGTGAGCCAAACATGTCGATTCCAAAGATGTGGAATTGGGAGCTTTCTCCAGGATCAACTTAGACAAGAGCTCCCAGGCTTTAAGGGCTTTTCCCCATAATGCTGCCTTACGTTTTGACACCCTATCCTCCCTAGTTTTAGGGGTGAAGCATTGGCAGGTCTTACACATGGAGACACTATGCCCTTCACCCAAACAGAACAGACAAAGGTTGTGTTTGTCAGTTTGGGTAATCTTGGCTCCACATTGAGAGCACTTCTTGAAAAGGGCCTTTAGGTCCATGGAAGGGATTCAGAAGCTGACATAGCTTCAACAAATCCAGATGAAATCCTCTAGACTCCAAAAGCACAACCTTCTCCTTTGGTAGCAAAAGAGGAATTGAGGGAGGGGGGCTGCTGCACAGGAGCACATGGTTCCTCGGTGAAAACAAGCTTCTGGCTCTGGTCTGCAGCACCCCTGGAGGCTTTTAGCTGTAAAGACCTATCACATGTGGTACCGCACGGAAGGTTGATGGTGAATAAATACTTTTCTTTTGACCACATGTGACCAACTTAGGGCACTGTTGCTACATTTCTTTTCAGTGATGAATCTATGTAGCCAATCCAGATTAGTTACCTATTATCATGATGTTTTTTTCATTCAGCACATTTTCACTAATTAGCAGGAAGTAAACATTGAGGGAGAAGGAAATGGAATTGGAGAAGCCATACAGTGACACCCTAAGCAGAGTTAAGACCTTTCTAAGCTCTTGAACTTCAATGGACTTACAAGGCTGCAGCTCTGCTTAAGATGGCACTGATAAAGATGAAAAATACAGCATCTGTCAACAATCACAAGAAGAAAAGAAGTACACTTGGGTTTTTGGGATATGGCATTTGGCAGCCCTAAAAACCCTTTTTGCTCCCCAAACTTTTTGTGTGTAAAGATTTAATATATCTCTACAAAGCATTACATGCTGTAGGGTAAAAATCAATAGCACAGCCAATTACTTGAACCTGGCACACAGCATATAAAAGTTCCTTTGTCTTTCTCCAAGTAACATAAATATTTTAAGTATATTTTTATTTGTATGACTTTTTGAGATCCTCAGGACTTAGCTGTTATTTGGCACCACAATACAAGCTACCTGTTTTATATGTCTTCAATACACAAGTTATCAATTATGAACTCCAGATTTCAATTATGACTTGATTTGAGCAGCCAGCAACCAGTGGTATTATTAGGAGAGTGGTACTGGGAATTAAAGCTCAAAAGCTCATACTGATAGCTCTTAAAGAATTCTTCCCATGTTGCTGCACCGAAAGTCCTCTTCATTAGAGACTTCCATTTGGTAATGTGTTTGGGGGACTGTAAAGTTTAACCTTTGTGTTAGCAGCCTGAAACACTATTAAGAGAATCCCTTAAAACAGTGGTAAATAAGCACTTGGCATCTCACCACAGTCTAGCATAAAATTCTTTTCATTCCTTTAAAGTAGCATTAATTCTCAGTTAAAATAAAAAGTGTTTAATATTCCTTTCTGTCATATAGTTATAAAAAGAAAAAAACCACAAGACAGTTCCAGTGTAATTCTAAGCAGAGTTGCATTGAAGATATATTGAACACCACTGACTTCAATGGATTCAGATAGAACTCTGTTCAGGATTGTGCTGTTGTGCAGATGGGTAATGATTGGCAACTGCCTGCTTATGTGCATTCTCTGTGGGTGGCTCACATTATGGAACAGCCTGGCTGAGGAAGTCAGGAAGGTTCCCCACGGTACTATCAAAATGTGCACAAAAAATGTTCAGGAGGGCATTGTTTTAATTAGATCTGTAGTGGTACAGAACAGTTCAGAGGAGTGCTTTCATACAGGAGTGGGGAATGGCTCCTGCATTTTCTTGTATTTTTGGAATCCACATTCTGCACTGCTTGCACTGTACCAGCCTGGGCAGTTTGCCGTTCACACTGTTATTTAATTGTGTATTCCTAGTCCTACTGCATTGGTATTGCCATTCAATTCTGTATTCCTAATCCTACTGCATCATTCATTGGATATCTTGTACTCTATGATTACATAGTTGCTCATGTTATCATTCCATTTTGTACTCCTAGTCCAATTGCATTGTTCATTTGATCTCCTATACCGTATGATAACGTTCCCCCCCCTCTTTCTGTGCTCTGAAATCCATGTTGAGTCTCAGTGAGAAAGGTGAATCTCAACTTGTCATTTTTATTGTATTAATATTATTCTTAATAATAAATTGTTATTCAAAAAAAGGTGGACTATAAACAAGCTAAATAAAACTAAATAAAATCTTTATTTGTTCATATCTTGTGCTTGCTAGTATCACATGGTATCAACTTTTGCCCAACACATCATATATTTTTGTGCCCTAGAACATGTTCCAGCACTGTTCTGCAGTTGTACACCAAAACACCAAAACTAGAAGGCAAACTGTATTTCAGGGATGCTTGTCCAATGCACATACACATAAGAAGATAATTCTACAGAATGTTGATTCCTGTGGCTCCAATCATGGTTGATGTTGATGAAGAAGGTGAAGACCATCTTGCTTAAGTGGGCTAATAGGGTGGGCTAAACATGATGGCAGCTGACTATGGTATCTTGGCTGGGCATTGCAGATGATGTCATTTCCTGTCCAAACTGATTTTATTTTGTAATTTTTAGGTCTCTGTTTTCACTATATGTTTTAGTATTGTAAAACAGTTTGAGGATCCAACTGGTCAAAAAGGTGCAGTATTTTTATGTTTTTTTCATTTTGCATAATCAAAAGGTGGGATATCAATGTTTTAATAAGTGAACAAATAAATAAAACACAACTATCATGTCTGTTGAGAATGGTAGTATAATCTTATTTTTACACTTTAATTGGACTTTTTACAGCATTAAAAGGAATGGACAGAGGATAACAAGGGCTCAGATGAAATCAATCTTATTAAGGATAATAGGATTAGTACAAAATTTCCAAATTACTAAAAAAAATACTGAATGAAGGATTTAACTTTTAATTACTACCAGTGCAATCCTATGCAGATTAATATTAATTGACTGAAGTAATTCTGCAAAGGATTGCATTGTACTTCTAGTCCTTTATAATGCTATTATTTCTACTACTAAATTGTCAAATGTGAGGGAGCACAAGAAATACAGCATCATAGTTCTGGAGTCCTTGCACCAGGTACCGGAAAAACAAACTAAAACCATATGTGGATATTTTTTTATAATCCAACAGTGGCTAGGAAGATATTTATCTAGGAAAGCTTGGGTGGAGGATGTTAAACATCATTACAAAAGGGATTTATTACATAAATTACTCTGAAATGTGAATTCAGCAATCTAAGTAATAGTGCAATCCTATGAAATCCTATGGGTTTAGACTAGAGTAACTCTGCATAGCAGTGTACTGTAAATTGCATAGATTTTAGTGTTTTAGATGCCTCTTAGAACTTCCTTTGTCCTATTTGTATTACCATAGTACTAAATTTAAAAAAACACAGGTAATTTTGTGAGGAAATTTTCTTGGAAAAAAGAGACTGTCCTTTGATTTACAATATATTTTTGGATAATGATAATTATTTATAGATCACATTTTCACATGTCCAAAATTCATACACTCTTTCACTCTTTCAGTCTTAGAAAGGTTGCAGTTACAGATAATACATTCCTGTTTAAAGTTACCTTCTGTGGGCAGGCTAGTTGGCAGATGCGATGTCGTGGCTCCTTTGGTAGTAGTTAAAACTCTGAATCTCATTGTAGTTTGCTGTACAGCAACAGTGGTGTGGGGAGGCATTTCAGTTGTGTCTGCATTCTTCTCACAAATCTTATCTTTTGACTACAGAGGGATAAACAAACAAGAAAAGAGAAAATTGGTTCTCAATGGAAGCCATTTGTCTCAGATGTACAGACATCTAAAGTAAGCACAAAGTGTCAGACTAAAGTGAATGAAAATGGAAACATTAAATCATGGATTTTTTTTAAAACCGAGTCTGGCTTGATCTTCAAAAAGTATCATTGACATCTCAAAGATGGCCAAGTACAGATTTCTCAGTGGGGGAGGAAAAGATTCTCTTCTCTGTACACATTCAGATATATTATTATTTCACAAAATTGCAATCAGGCACTGAAAACAAGTTCAAGGGTTGAGGCCTGGTGTGTCAAGGGTAAAATCAAACTTTGACAGCTTCTGCTGACATCATTCGTATGCTAGGTTTTTCACTAAACCTTTTATTTTGTTTCTATGCAGATACTATACTACTTTCATGTCATACATAACTAATAAAACAAATAATAAAATATACTGAGGTGTATCCAATCACTTCTTTCTGATGGGGGTAGAAGCATCATGTAGCAGAAGCAACTCACTGAATCCAAATTATTATTGCTAAATAAAAAGCTTATCCACAAAATAATCTTTATACACAATTGTAGCATGCACTCCAAGGCTATATTAACAGGTTTCCATGCTTGGCTAACATATCTGAATTCAAACTTCATGCATAAAACATGGTAGCAGAGAAGAAGATACTTGCCCCCAGGATCAAGTATTTGTGATGGAGGTATAGCACTGCCACACAGATGCTCAACCTTGTAAACATTATTTAGTTCTTTTTTCCTTCATCTTATCAGTTATCTCTGAATCATGACCAGGGTCAAAGAAATTTTTAATGGTCGCTGCTTGTAACTAAGTTTATAAACATAGGCAAAAGAATATTACCTCTTCAGGACAGCCATTGTCAACCCAGTCTTGCCGGTGACGATCAAATCCACTGGAACATCTTTAAACGGTGGAAGAGATTAAACAGTCCAGTTGCAAATGAAAAATGTATTGGTTGGGTAAAAATGGAAGGGGGAGGGAGAAAGAAAGTAAGAAAGAAATAATTAAATCTGTATGATCAGATTTAATACTTGTTCATTTATATTCAAGATGATCTTCTGAGCCAAAATGATTAATGCTTTCTATAAGGAACTAATTTTCATGATTAGACAATTTGAGATGTCACTGTCTTTTTGCTTTCGATAGTTAATAGCTTCACTATGTTACACGGTAGGAGCTTAAAGTCTCAAACCTGTGAATTTAAGCCAATTTAATTTATTCGGTCCATGTTTTTTGCATATACTCTATATTCATACTGCTAAGAATGTTATGTACCAAACGGTACAACTTTCTTTATCAGAATTCATTATCAGAGAAATATAGGCATTTGTAAATGTTTGATCAGTGCATGCCAATTATAGGCAAGAAGCCATCCAAAACATTCTGTTTCTTCCTTTAACTTGCATTGCAAAAATGGAGGTTGCTTATAAACTTTTACCTCAATTAACCAAAAGTTAATGAGGTTTCCCACCCAAAAAATGTAATTTTATGACACATAATTAACATATTGCAAAGCAGCTGGCAGATTATTCTTTAATTATTCCCATGGAACATCTAACTACAAAAGTATTGTCATTAATATTTTCAAGATGACCTGAGAGCGTAGAAAGGCAAAGTGCTACAGCTCTTAGGCACCAAAGGTGCAACAAAACTAAACTCAGCTTAATTGCAATATGTTGCATAAATGTAATCCTCTCATGGCAGTACTACATTGAGAGAAGAGACCAAAAGAGGTGAAAAACATCAGCCTGACATTTCTTAAAGAAGATCACAATGTCAGTGTAGTTCAGTGGTTAGAACATTGGACTAAGACCCCGGAGATCAAGGCCTGAATCCCCACTCTGCCATGGAAGCTTACTGTATGACTTAGGGCCAATCAAACACTCCCAGCTTAAGTTGTAGGGATAAAATGGAAGGAGAAATTGTGTTATAAGCGGCTGTATGGCACCACAAGGAGCTGCAGTGGCTCAAGTGGTTAAGACGCTGAACTGCAGGCTGTGGAAGGTCAGTAGTTCAGCAGTTCGAGACCCGGGTGCCGCAAGACAGGGTGAGCTCCTGTCTCTAGTTCCAGCTCCTGCCAACCTAGCAGTTCAAAAGCAAGAAATCGCAAGTAGATAAATAGGTACCACTTCAGTGGGAAGGTAACAGCGTTCCGTGTGCCTTGGTGTTTAGTCATGCCGGCCACATGACCATGGAAACGTCTTCGGACAGCGCTGGCTCTTCGGCTTTGAAACGGAGATGAGCACCGCAACCCTAGAGTCGGATTCGACTGGCTTTCGAGCAAGGGAACCTTTACCTTTACCTATGGCACCACATCCCTTCCCGATGAACTCTGCCCTGCCAAGGCGCTACCTCCAAATATCCAGGAATTTCCCAACTTGGATTTGGTAACCCTATCACTTTACAATATCTGTCAGATTTTAGTTTAGGAGAAGACTTAAATCAAAATTTCCTGTGCAGATGCACTGATGTTGCAATTGTACAGTTTGGCATCCTTGAGGGTCAGTTTGGTGTGGTGGCTAAGAGTGCGGACTCTAATCTGGGAGAACCAGGTTTGATTCCCCACGCCTCCACATGCAGCTGCTAGTGTGACCTTGGGTCAGTCACAAGTTCTCTCAGAGCTCTTCTCTCAAGAGCTCTCTCAGCCCCACCTACCTCACAGAGTGTCTGTTATGGGGAGGGAAAGGGAAAGGAGATTGTAAGCCACTTTGAGACCCCTTCGGGTAGTGAAGGGCAGGGTATAAAATGCACTGTTGGGGCAATAAGATGGTAACATGCATTCTTCTGCTAGTGCAGATAAAGCCTTCAATTAGAAAAGTTTCATGCATATGGGACAAATATACAATATACAATTATGTAGCTGAACATAATGAGGATTCCCAACTAGCCATGCAGCAAGGTGAGAGGCCATTATCAAACAAAAGATGCTATTCTATACCTCACACATAATTAAGTGGATTGTTCTTCTCCAAGTTATACCAAAACAACAACAAACCATTTATGGCCCCTGCCACACGGCAGGGAAACCACGAGGCAAAAGCGCGGCTAATAGAGCCGCTCCAACGTTGAGAAGCTGCGGCGGGATCCCACGGATCCCCTGGCCACAGCGCCTCTTCTCCCCGGCAAGAGCAGACGCCGGGGAGGACGAGCCCGATGGGAGGGGGAGGCTGCCGAACTGCGCATGCCCGAGCATGTGCAGTACGGCCGGGGGCTGGGATGCGGCGGTGCAAGGACGCGCCGCCGATCCCACGGCCGGCTTGGGGCGCTCCAGACGGCTGCAACCACCTAGATAGGTGGTTCGTTTTTGCAGCGGGGTATCGCCATTTGGGCCGGATCAGGGACGGAGACGGCACGCTCCCCAGATGTTGAGGTGGGATCGCGTCCGTTTGCTCCGCCCCTGTTCCGTCCCGCTCCCGTCCCAAATGGGCTCGTATGAACGGGGCCTACGTATTTCTTTATAACTTGCTCTTCTGTGCAATGGGGCCCAAAGCAACTTACAATATCACTTTCTCCTCCTGCACTTTATTCCTCACAATTAACAACATCCTATAAGGTAGGTTAGGCTGATAGAAAGTGACTGACCCCAGGTCACCCAGTGAACTTACATGGCAGAATGGGGATTTGAACCTGGTTGTCTCAGATCCTAGTTCAACATTCTAACTACCATACCATACTGGCATGAGTATTCTAGGAACCAGGGGACTGGAGAAAGAGTGCCATTGAATCCATATGTAACAATAGGGACTCAACAGGGCTTTACCTGAGTGGGGAAAGTATCAGACAGAGCAAAGCCCCAAGTTACTAGCCACAATGAGAACACTTCTTCTGCCAACCCTATTTTCACCCACCGAAAAAGAAATATTTTAAACTACTTCCACCAGTAAAGGCAGATCTACAGATTGACTTCCACTAACAACTAACAGAGCAATCCTGTCTTTATTAAAAGTATTGAGTTTTTTTTAAAAAAAACATTACAATATTTTGCCACCTCTCCTTTTTGCTGCTTACATTATTTTGTTCTGAGCTTAAAGCAGTCCTAGGAATCAAGGCCATATTGGAAATCACATGTGCTGGAAAAAGGTTTCTTAAGCTGTTCCCTGGTTAAAGTAAAGGTAAAGGTTCCCTTGGTCGAAAGCCAGTTGAATCCATTATGGTCTATGGATTTGCGATGGCAGTCACTCTCCCCAGAGCTTGGGGAGGTGATTATCACACCATCGGCATGGAGGGGTGCCACCTCAACTGGCACTCCCATGGAGTCTTTGTGAAAGGCTCCAGGCCAGAGAGCTTTGAGGGTTAGCCTCTTCGACGGCTTGCTGCTGGAGAATCGAGGCTTTCCTCCACTCTGAAGGTCCTACTGATGAGTGGCCTTAGGGCACAAGCTAACCCGACCAGGACAAGCAGGGGAGACCGAGCGGAACAACGATTGATGTGAGCGAGGTCAGGAATGTGACCAACAATCAACGTGAGTTCTAAGTAAACAAACTTTGATAAACGGCACCCCCCCTCCCTGTGGGAAAAGCGGAGTGCAAAGAGAAACACCTCTGAAGCACAAGGACAGATAAACGCAGCTAAGGGGGAGTGGGAGGAAATAGATAGCGTGTGTATTTTGAGAGACTTACTTGAGTGCAAATAGCGGATTGACGAGTGCTTCGAGCCCGGGAGAAGCAGTTTGAAAGTGTAAACAAAGTTGAAAAATGGCGGCATCACGAGGAAAGTTTAAAGCGAAGCCTCAGAGTCCAAGGCTGGAAGAGGGAGCTGACGTCATGAAGCTGTTAGCGGATATGCTCAAGTCAGTGATGGATCAGCTGGATGGTATTAACCAGCAACTGACCTCGTTAAATCAAAACTTTGCTTCACAACAGCGACAGCTGGCAGAAACGGAAAAAAAAGTGGAGCTGGTGGCTGAGAAAGTTACAGAGATAGACACCTCAAGCAAGAAGATGAAGAAAAGAATGGGTGAAGTGGAAACGAAAAAAAATCTTCAAGAAAATCGTTTGCTGCAGCTGCAAATGGAAAAGGCTAATATGATTCTCAGGTTCCAGGGGGTTCCTGAGACAGAAAAAGAAGATTTGAAAAAGACTCTGGGTGAGATTATCGCTCCAGTGACAGGCTTGCCAGCGGAGGAAATAATAAAAGACATGGAGACAGCTTATAGGGCTTACTCCAATTATATTTTAAAAAATAGCCTGCCTGGAGAGATTGTGATGAGATTTGCAAGAAGACAGACCAGAGATGCTATATTAAAGGCAACTTCAGCAACTCCACTGAAATTTGGGAATACAGTTATCAAGACTTTAAAAGACATTCCATTTGAAATTCGTCAGAAGAGAAAGAGCTACAAGGAGTTAATTACTTTTCTTCAAACAAACGGTATACAGTACAGGTGGGCAATTCCTGAAAGTGTCATCTTTAAAATCAACGATAGAAGGGAGAAGATAGACTCCATCTTCAAAGTCAAAGAATTCTTGAGACGTCAGCTGGGATCGGGGGAAGACTCTAAAGAGGAAGAAACTAAGTCAAGTGACTCAGCTGCCTCGGGAATGGATGAGGACTCTGCTGCAGAAGTGGGTGCGGGAGCAATGAAAACTGTATATGATTTTAGAGACAGAAAGCCGAAGTAAGGGCAGAAGGACTCTGATAAATGACCCTTTGAAACAAAGAAGATGCTTAGAAAGTTCTCTCATAATAACTAATTTACTAAACAGAACAATGTGGAAAACAAGAACTCTACAAGTGTATTGTTTTACTAACTCTTTTAATACTAATATTAAGTTTAACATAAAGGGGGTCTCCCACTCTTGGGTTTTTAGTTAGTGTGGGTATCTTTCCTTTATCCATAGTTGTAGTTCCCCTTCCTACATTTTTCTTTGTAGTTTGTAGTCATATTGAAAAAATAAAAAT